GCATCAAATACATCAAAAAACTAAAAATAAAATAGCATTAAAAAAACGAACTGTGATTTTTAAAAAATATATAATTTTACACTTAACTTACAAGTAAATACCTAATGTTTGTTCCTTTAAACTTCTCTTTACCTTTACCGCCAGCCATATTAAATTTTGATTATAAACCATTGGTCAACAACCTGAATTATACATTGTTATTATTATTATAGTTACATTAAAAATTGATAAACATGTCTTAGACAAAATACAAATTATTCTCAATGAAAAATTGCACAAACCGCAAAGGTTTCTTACCAAACCGTAATGCAAGTAAGAAAAAGAATTGATAGAGGGGAAGGGTTTGGTCCAAGGAGACCACCTTCTAAACGCAAGAAAACACCAAGAGCGGAGAGTATAATCAGAAATATCAGCCTGGAAAACAGAAAAAAAGCCACTTAGCTTATCCATGAAGCTGAAAATGTTGTGTCAGATCGGACCATTTGTAAAAGGCTAAAAGAAGACCCAGCCGGCATTATTACGTTGTTTCAACGTTGAAATTCGGTTGAAGCGTTGTTTCAACGTTGTTCAACTATGTCACAACGCTAAATCAACGTTACCGTTTAAACGTTGATTATTTAACGTTATTTCAACGTCATTATTTCAATCATTGTTGACAAAAAATACGATATAAAATTTATGCTCGCGCAAAAATGGAAGTAAAATCGTAAACATTATTTTAACGGTTAAAGTTATAGTGGAAAAAAAATGTAAATACTGAACTTATATCATATAGAATTTTCAAGAGATCGAAAACATGTTCAGACGATTTTCCTGAAAGAACATTATCGTTTAAAAATCGATATTTTTCGTTTAACTTGGGCTACAATGCTCAAAGACTGATATTATTAAATGTAAATATAGTACAACTTTTTCAAAAAATGATCCATTAAATTATATTGAATTTAATGCTAAGTGTTGTTTATTAATAGAGCATCAAAAATTAAAAAAGGAAATTGATAACTTTAAAAAAGAACTTCAGCACGAAATAAAAAAATAAAGATTTATATATAAAATTAACTTCAACCACATTAGCTATTACTATGAAAACAGACAAACTTGTATATAAACATAATCCAAACAAATCGTGTTATTGCAATTTACTTGTATACAAACATTTATTTTAAAAATAATAGATCTTGCGACTTTTATACTGGCCTTACATCTGTCAATGTGTTTCATCAGTTAGTGCAGTATCACCATTAATCAAAAGAGATTAAGTGATATTAAAAAAAACATTTACTTCTGTTTTTTGAAATTTAAAAAAAACCTTAACTACTTGGACCAAAATAAATGTAATGCAGCAAAGATGAATTTTTAATGATGCTAATACTTGGATTATTGACAGCTGATTTTGCTGACAGGTTTAATATATTTTTAGGATTAGTGAATGCAATATTTTCTTCATTATTGAAAGCTTCTAGCTCACTTTTAAATCACATGGTTTTTGTTCCAAGTAAAGATGTTATAAGACAGGCAATGCAAAACAGATTTTAGAAATTAAATTGTTCAGACTAACACTAAATTTCAGATATAACAGAATTTATTATGGAAACACCTTAAAATTTTGACTTACAGGAACTAACAGGGAATGAATACAAACATTACAACATTAGTACCCGTAGCTCCAAATTCATCAATAATTTCTTTGAAAAATTTCTAACATTAATGATTTCTTCTTACAGAAGCTAAATTTTGGATAAAAAAATTACATATCGCAACAACTATTTAGATTGTATTACAAAATACTCTTGTATAATGTATGATTAAGGCTTTAATATTAATTTTTTAATACAAATGAAGTGATTTTATCAGTCACTTTAAAAATATGATGAGTATTTGTATAAAGATAATTAAAATTTCAAACAATAATACTAGCTTTACTTGTTGTTTTTTTTTTAGGTGAATCAATTGTAATTGATCGAATATCTTTAAAATGCTAAGGTAATCAAATTAATTTTTAATTATTCAGAAATTTTAAGGATTAAATTATTTAGCAAAAAAATTGTTTGATAATGAGTTTAATTTAAATTTAAAAAAAAAAATTAATATTAGTTCTCGCACAATTAATATCAGTTCTCTTATCTATTAAAATTTATAATATTTTCCAACAATTTTGTGACCTCCATGAATATGAAGGGGAAAGGTGGAAATATGCTTTAAGAGCACTAATTTATATGGTGTAGTGGTGGAAATATGCTTTAAGAGCATTAATTTATATGGTGTAGTATACCTTTATAAGATATGTAAAACTTTTTTATTCTCATTTTTAATATATTCAAAAATTTCTCCTAGTGTTTTTTTTTTTTTTTTTTTTTTCTAATTCTTTTTTTATTAACAGCTTCTTCTATTAAATACGATGGAGCAACTGATACTTTAATTGATGGCATTTTGTCTAACTTCTAAAAATGAAAAAAAATTTAGATTGATTGATATAAATTTATATTTATAAAAATCGATCGAAAATTTCTTTATTGAAATATTTACATATATTTCAATAAAGAAATATTTTCTTTTTGTCTGCTAATATATTTTTTTTCAGTGTTAATTCAACATTACAAATTAAAACTCAATTATGAAAAAAGCCTAGAATTGAGTTGATGTTTTAAGTAAAATAAGAAAAGCCCAAAAAGTAACTGATGTAATATTTTTATTTTTTGATAAAAAAAAAATTCTAATAATGTTTAAAATTGGTATTAATATTAATGTTTATTAGATAAAGATGAGTAAAAAGTAAGTAATGTTTATTAGATGAAGATAATTAAAAAAATAAGTTACAAGTTATTTTTTGGTCTTGAAAATTGTTTGAATGATAATTTATTATTTATCAAAATATTTTCTTTTTTAATTTTTGTTGTTTTTATATTTTAATTAAAAGTAGATATTATTGTGTCATATATTACAGGCTTGGTCGGGAAGCGGGTGCGATCGCACTCGATAATTGACCACGGAAATTATATTTACTTGCGAAAAGCCGGCCAGATTTTTCAGGCGTTTTGAGAACATTTCAGTTTATGTATGCTTCCTTGTTTATTCGCAAAATAATAAGTTCATTTTATCGTAAATTTATGGTTTTTTTTTACGGACGTACATGGAAACTTATATAAACTTGAATGTTGTCAAACGTCTTAGTGCGGAAAAATAAATAAAGAATATTCGCTAACACAAAAAACCCGCCAAATTTACGAACAACTAATTCTATTAGTTCAATTAATAAATAACTGAAATTACTACGCGACTGTTCTAGAGTATTCTGTTGAATTATTTTTCAAAATCTTTTTTTTTTTTTTTTGTTATTTTTTCGTTGAGAATTCTAGCATCAATTGTTTTAAGAATATACTATCAAACGAACAATTATTTTAATACAATGGCTCATTCTCGGAGTCACATCCATAAAGCTATAAATGTTTTAAACTAACATTTGTTTACAAAAATAATTGTTTTAAATTTATATTTTTTAACTTGTCAACGTTTTGTAAATATATTATAGATTTAATTAGTATAATCTTATTTTTTATAAATAAGGGATGTATTTATATGTATGTAATGTATTAGAAATTGGTTTATTAACTTCAATTATTTTTGCTTCAGCCATTCTTACAAACTCGTTATACTTACACTTAAAGTTTTTTTTTCTGTAAAATACTAGTTAAAGATATAAAGCCCACTCACTAAACATCATCAGCGATATTGTTTAGCAGTTCCGCTTCCTCCTTACAAAGTAATTTAACGTTTTTAGTTAATTTCTATCTAGCTAATTAAATTTCCACAGTAACTTAATGATTTAGTTATTTCATTTGTTCATCTTACTAAGAAGAATTGTTTTAAATATGTTAAACTTTTCAAACTACGCGAAGCATAAAACAGCGACTGAAAAAATTCTTTTTATTTATAATTAAATTATGTAGCGTTAGTTTTATTGGTTAAATCTTGTTGGACTTTACAGGGCCGGGGGCTGCATTATTTTGGTGGCCTTTATTATGTGCGACAGCGTAAAAATGACTTAAAAATACCGATAGGTCCTCTTGACTATTTCTCGTCCCATAACATTGTGTGTCCCGGGACTATAGCTCTTCTACCCCCTCCCCCCACCTCTTATTTCCAGCACTGGAAATAAGACATAAGTATATAAATAAAAATTATATATAATCTTTGATAAATTGAAGAACATTTGTTTCTTTATTAAACAATCATTCTTAGTACGTTGTTACTATATACAAAAAATGTCGCTTTTTTTAAAAAAAAAAATTATAAAAGAGCGACGTTTCAAAAATATTTTGAAACTCTAATCGTAATTATTTTGCTTAAAGTTTTGCGTTAAAAGCTATTTTTTTTTTTTAACTGTCTCTCATCGGTCCAGTTTATCTTATTGCGCTTTTTTGCTTGTTTTTGAAATGTTCTCAAAACGCCTAAAAAATCTGGCCGGCTTTTCGCAACTAAATATAATTTCCGTGGTCAAATATCGAGTGCGATCGCACCCGCTTCCCGACCAAGCCTGATATTATATTATACCTTATATTATACTATTATATTTTATATTAATAATGAGTATTTTTGTTTTTTTGTATTTCAATTTTTTTTCAATATTCCATAATTATCTTATGTAGATGTTTATGTTTTAGCAACCTAGTATTCTTTCATTATTTGTCTTTGTTATTGAGCCTTAAGTTATTTGAACATAATATATTCAGAACTCTGCTGAATAATAGAGTGATAAATAAATTAATAAAAATGAGTTTAAAATATAATAAATTTATAAAATAAAGAAAATCTTATCTTTGCTTATAATGTCTACTAATATTATTGTTTAGCAAGTATCATGGTTATAAAATGTTCAAATTTAGCTAGTTTAATTAGGCCTGTTAGTACACTTATATTATGGTTTATTCATTTTATATTAGTTCATGTCATTTTTTTCAAAATCGAATATGCGAAAAGGAGCTGTTTGGAATGAAGATTTACAAGAAGAAGTAATTCCATCTAATTGGATTAGTGATAAAACTGTTTGTCGGCTTCCAGGTACTAAAGCATTGACTGCACTAAAATGCAGAGAAGAATTGGCTTAAGTTTATACAAATAAAAACTAAACTCCCTTCAGGTATTACATCTATATATTACAATTATTATTTTTTAAATAATGTGGTAAGAAGAGTTATTTTGTTGATACAAAATATATAACTATTTGTATAACTATTTCAATTCTAAAAGAAAGCAAACAGTATTGTGAAAAGTTTAAATTCACAACTACAAAAGAAAAATGTGATAATGAGAATGTTGACAAGTGGATGCAAGATTTGCACACAAGTTGAAACTTGGATGCAAATTTTCCGCTTGTGTGGTTTGGATGGTTCTCCACAATATAATATATATCCACAAGCATAATATTAGATTTACTTCATGTTTTTTTACAGATAAATCAGTTATAGTTAATTGGTGGAGTTACCTCATTTATAATCAGGGTGTCTGCAGCTTCTCTAAAATCCTCTAAAGTCCTCTTTTTTTAAAACCACTTCTAAAATCCTCTATTATCCTCTAAAGAGGTAAAAATTTGGTCAAAGCTCCTCATTAATTCTTCCTTTTTTTAATTTTTGATGGATGTATAATGTTCAAAATACTTATTCTCAGTCTGCAAAACTGGTTAACGCCTTAAAGTGCATGGAATTGTAAAAAAATGCTTTAGAAAATGCATGCTATTTAACATAACAAATAACATTATTTGATCCCTGTCCAAGCCCCATAAGTGTATAAACATGGACGTTAAACCATTAATAAATGGCCACATAAAATTTCTTATAAAAATTTTATGTGGCCACCCCGAAAATTATTTTTCTATGCTAGAAATGTTTTATATTTTGATTATTAATTTATTTTTAATATATTAAAAATAACCAACTAACAGTTATATTATTTTTTAAAAATTCAGAGTATTTTCGAAAAGTTATATGGCCTCCATGGATATGATGGGCAAAGATGGAAAAATATGAACACTAATCTATATGACGTTGAAAAAGATATACCTTCATAAGTTGTAACACTTTTCCATTCATTATTTATTTTTTAAATCTTCCCTTTTTGTTGTTTTTTTTATATATTTTTTTATTTACAGCTTCTTATATTGTATTCAATGGGCCAAAAGAACCCTCGGTTAATGGAACATGGTTTGACTTTCTAAATTACGCTTTATTTCAAAAAGGTGGTGAAAAAGAGAAGAAATTTGTGTAGATTTTATTCAATTACATGTAAATATATGTAATATTTGAATATGTATTTTTGATTAAAACAAGTTTTATCTCTTTCTTTAATCATACCTAGCTATTTTAACTAAACTAAACTGAAAAAGTTCTAAATAGTCTAAGTATAGACTATGAATAGATTTAATATCCATAATATACCTTGATAATGTACAGCAACACTAATGTACATGCATAGTACGTTTTGATGGTGATCATATTTTGACGCACACAGCACGTTTTCATACATATATACATTTTGACATACATAGCACGTTTTGATGGTGAAAACGTTTTGATATTTCAACGTTATTTCAACGTTATTCGCCGGCTGGGGAGGGATTGATGTCCAGCCAAAAAAGTAAAAAATTAACAAAAAAATTTAAAAATATTAAAAATAATGTCAAAAATCTTATATTTATGCAAGATAGTGCAACTTGCCACACAATAAAAACTGTTATGGCTTAGTTGATGTATTGCTATAGCCAGACAATTCGCATGATCTTAACCCCATAGAAAACATTTAGGAAATAGTAAAGCAAGAGATTAGAAAAACAAAATCTTACTAATAAGCAAGATTTTATGGAAGAGATTATCAAGATCTGGCATAATAACCCAAAGTTGACAGAAACAATAAAAAATAAATTGCAAACATGCCACAATGCAATGAAGCAGTTTGTAAATAAAAGTGTAATTAAAATGTAATGTTTGTAAACAAAATTGTAAATAAAAGTGTTTTTGCAAAATATTTATACTTTATATATATATTTTATATAATTTATCATAATGATCAATAAATATTCAAAATGTTCAACTTTATTTATTTATTTTTATCAAGTACAACTTTTATACATATATAATATATATATACATATATATTATATATGTATATATATAATATATGTATATATATAATATATAATATATATATATATATATATATATATATATATATATATATATATATATATATATTATATATATATATATACATATATATATTATATATATATATATATATATATATATATATATATATATATATTATATATATACATATATATAAATTATATATATATATATATATATATATATATATATATATATATATATATATATTATATATATATATATATATATATATATATATATATATATATATATATATATATATATATATATATATATATATATATATATATATATATATATATATATATATATATATATATATATATATATATATATATACTCATATATGAATCTTGGTTTCTCGATAAAAACGATAAGTGCACAACCAATAAAACAATCTTTTGTGTATGGAAAAACACTCATAATATGAGTGTTTTTCAATAACACAAAAGATTGTTTTATTGGTTGTGCACTTATTGTTTTTATCAAGAAACCAAGATTCATTTAAGTCTTTTACAAAAAGGGCATATGAAAAGAGACGCAGTAGACGTGTCCAAAAAGAATATTAAAAAATACTAGAATTTTCATCAGTACATATGGAAAAAAAATCGAATGTTGGAACTTCTAAAAGAAATGATTTCTTATCTTGCGAAAATCTAAAAGAATATTTTGACCATCATGAGTCAGCGATTTTGTACAATGAATACTCTTATGACCAAAAGCCTAATGAGTATAAGCATAACCCAACTTTAAAGGAAAGTTTTTCTGCATGTTTTTTTAACCAAGTAATTATGCACTAAACAAGTGGATTGACAAAGAATACCAACAAATTTATTGTCCCAAAAAAAAACTATAATCATGCACTGAAAAACAACCTTTTGTCAACAAAAGAATGGCACAAATTTCCATTGATAAAGTGTAAGATAACAGATAGTCAGTATCTAACTTGTTTTGTATTTTTTTTAAAGGTAACTTAATTACTTTTTTGTAGCAAAATGTTTTATAATTAGATTCATTTTCATGTTGTGAAGAATACAACTTTCTACATCAGATGAGATATATGTTAAAGAAAGTATTAAAAATAAGAATAACAAATCATATTGCTCTTCATTGCCAGAACCTCCGCCACCTATTATGAATAAGCCCGATGCTAAAAGTATAACATAAATATCATAATTTTTTCTAAATGGTTTATAAACTGAAATAGATTCTTGTTTAATTTGATCTGAATAATATCTATCTAGCTATTAGTCTTTTTTATATATTACTAAGATTTTCCTTTTATTTTAACTATTTAGGTGTCCTATTATATGTAATGTTGTTAAGTTGGTTACATATATTTATATCATTGACAGCATTCTATTGTATTAAATTATCCTTTAATCAACTTGATATGAAAATTGAAAACTGATTAAAAGCATACTGAAGTTGTTTGAATTCAGAAATTGAAAGAGTACAAAATTGGTTGAAAGATTAAATTAAGTAACAGATATGGTGGAGGGATTATTTATAGTTCTAATTATAATTATTTCTTTTGAATAGAGTTGTTATCAGGTTCAAAGATTGAAGAAGATAATTTTTCTTCACATTTTATTGATGAACACCAAGCAAAGTTCACATTGTCAAAGAGTTTTAAGTTTTAATGTGAGTAATTTTGGTTTTTACACCACTGAATGTTAATGTGGAGGTCTTTTTTATTAATTTGTTTTTGTATTAAAATAATTGTAAAAGATAGGTATAAAAGAATAGAAATGGATTATTTATAATATTGTGATCCGATAAATCATGTGTGTAGCATTTTATCTTTAGTAGTTTTTTTAGTAAGAATTTTAACTACTACTTTTAGTAGTAGTTAAAATTCTTTAATATCGTAGCCTTTTACAGGATAAAGTTTTAGCTGATTTAAAAAGTAGGTTTTCCAAAATATTATGGCAACTTCTGCGATGGAGTAATAAAAAAACTTACATGTGTTTTTGGAATTTTAGTTTAAGTTACTCAAGCATAATTTGAATTTTAAAGTTCTTATTTCATTGTTTTGCTATTTGGTTTTGAGAGCTAAATATGTTAATCAATCTTTTTATTCTTGTTTGTAGAGATGCAAAATGTTATTCTCAAGGAGCTTGCAGAAATAAAAGTTCTTTTAAAAGAAGTTATAGAAATTAAGTTCCAGGTTACTGGGGTGAAGTTGCTAGAATCGGTGGACAAAGTGGTTACACTGGATAATAAACTAAAAGATAAAACCGAGTATACTAATTTGATATAATCTAATTATCTTAGTTTTTAATAAGTTTGTTTAAATTTGGTTTATTAGTTTAGAATCTAAATAAAAAGTATTTGTAAATGAACTAAAATAACTAGCTTGTGTTAGACTCAATATGTTGTAAAGAAATTTAAGTTACACTAGTTTTTATTACATTTATTTCAGCTTGATAGTTTAAAAAAGATTGGTGGTGGAAAGCCAAGAGAACATGTTTTTTTGATCATGTAAAGGTAAATGATTTTGTTTTTATTAATTATTAGAAATATGATTAAAAGGGACCAAAAGCAATTCTTTTTGACCGTTATTTGTTATGGATTTACTTTTAACATGACGATTTGATAAACTCGGGAGCTTCGCTGTAGGTGTTTAAATTTGTTTGTGTGCTAAAGTAAGTGTTATGCTAAACCTTGTTTAGCATTTTATTTTCAAATTTAATGCTTTTACCTTTCATAATTTTAAGCATTCATATATTAAAATATATTTATATATTAAATATATTTAATAAAAATCTTTATATATTTCAGTTTATTATTAAAATATTTATCAGGTTATTTTCGAATCAGTTACAGTCCAAATTAAATCGAAAAGGAAATGGGGAAAAGATAAGCTTAGAAAATCTAGTAAATATATGGAGTGTTTTACGAGGTATAGTTTTAATAGTATTTACAAAACTGATATCTGTATTAAAAAGATATTCTTCGACTTTTTTGTGTCATGCTAGAATTTTTGTATCCATAATACAAGTTCCTTTAGTTTTTTCATAAAAAAATTGTTGTTTATTATTGTATCTGGTTGAGATACAAATCTTCTTGTTTATATATATATATATATATATATATATATATATATATATATATATATATATATATATATATATATATATATATACATGTATATATGTGTATATACAGTATTGGACAAAACATTTGCAACCAACATCGAACAATGCTAAAAAGTGTTCCTAATTTTATATGTCTTAAAAATGAAACGAACTATACTACCACAGCAAACAGTTCAGGAGTTTGGACTCATAGCATGCCATGATATGAGCAATCAGCTGACAGGTGACAGCACACAGGCAGAATTTCGTTGACAAGTGCCATTTTGCAGCATACATCACGGAAGTTTTTTAATAATTAAAGGAGGTATCCAGAAGTTTCCAGTAGCATGCAGAAGCTTCTAGAAGTTTCCAGAAGAAGCATCAGGAAGCATCCAGAAGTATCCAGAAACATTCAGAAGCATTCAGACGCATCCAGAAGCTTCCAGAAGTATTGAAAAGAAGCATCTAGAATCTTCCAGAACAGGTTTACACAGGTTCATTTTACTATATAAGAGACATGTAATTCAGTCAGTATATGGAAGTCAATCAGTCAGTATTATCAAGACAGTTTATCGAAGTGAGTTTTATCAAAGTGTTTTATCGAAGAACATCAATACCAGAAGTGAAATACAACAAGTGTTTCATTACATCAATACAATCCACATCCAACCAAGACGTTATGTTCCGAAGAGCAATATTTTATCATCACAAGGTAAATGTAACACGGTAAGCCTTGAGAAGTGTGGTTATTTATTTTTATTATTTTTATGACTTCAAGTGCAAAAATGGTTCCCGACAGTCTTGGATTGGAACTAAGAGAGAAAATTATTTGCAATTACTTAAGTGGAATATCACAAAAAAATATTTGTGATAAATATGGCGTGAAAAAATAGATCGTATCAAGACTATGTTCCAAATATTGTTCCACAGGGAAGTTGGCAGCACATAACAATGGTGGAAGACCTCGTTCCACCATTTCTAGAGAGAATTCTATGATCGTCAGATCTGTCAAGAAGGATCCCTGGATATCGTCAGTTGAGATACAAAAGCAATTAGAGCTGCTTGTACGTCAAGCGGCCGGAAAACGCCTTAATTAACGTTACTGCCATAAGACTGTATGCAATGGTGGAGGCAATGTAATGGTCTGGGGGTGTTTTTCTACTAACGGTCTAGGTCCAATACATCGAATTGATGGAATAATGAACCGTTTCATTTATAAAAATATCCTGAAAGATGTTATGTTACCTCATGCTGAATGGAATATACCAATAAAATGGGTTTTTCAGCAAGACAACGATCCCAAACACACTGCAAAAGTAGTCAAGCAGTGGTTTCAAGACAACCATCTATTGGTGATGGATTGGCCGCCTCAATCTCCGGATTCCAACCCTATCGAGAACATGTGGGAGATTGTCAACTGCAGAGTTAATCATGAATGTGTTCGTAATAAAGATCAACTGTTTGAACAAATCCAAAAGGCCTAGGCAGCGATTCCACAAAGTTTTATTGATCACCTGATCAAATCTATGCCTTAAAGATGCAAGGCTGTGATCGACAAAAAAGGATTCACCACAAAATATTGATATGAATACAGCTTGGTCAACATTTTGTGGAGTTGCACTTGTTTTGTCCAGAAGGAAATCAACTTTTTTTAATACTTTTGATTAATTTATTAATTTTCGTGTACAAATAATGAACTTCGTGATAAATAAAATTTGAAGAGCGTTGTCTCTAAACAGTTACATAGTTATTTCTCTAAATTGAAAAAATACAGCACTTTTATACAAAGAAACTAAATTAGCATCATTTGATTGCACTGGTTTTGTCCGATACTGTATGTGTGTATATATATATATATATATATATATATATATATATATATATATATATATATATATATATATGTATATATATATATATATATATATATATATATATATATATATATATATATATATATATATATATATATATATATATATATATATCAAGGGTTGAATTAACGCATCGCGATTTGCGATATCTGTTAAATTATCTGGTCTTCAAAGTTTCAGTTTATGGAAAACCACGAAATTTACGGAATAGGCGAATAAACTTTAATTTGTTAGTGAAAATGTTATGAAAAACAAAACAATAAATTTATGACTACAAAAGAAATAATGCTACAGTGTTGTTACTTTTATAACACTTTTTTATGTTACATTTATAGTTTATTGTTTGATCAAACAACACATAATCAAGATATTATAAATAAAAACGATTTAGTTAAGTAATTCCAAACTTTAATTAAAGTAGTAATGCATCTTGAAAAAATACAATGGATATTTAAACAATGTTAAAAACCTCAGCAACTTTTACGAATACATATTTTTATAAACAGCTTAGCATTTTTAAACATCTTACTAACGGTCCGGAAAAAACGCGCGTTCACTTTAAAATCAACCAATAAAAACACTGGTAATTTACTTCTTAGGAGAAATCTATATTAAAAGGGGAGGGGGGGGAGGAGGCTATAAACTTAAATTTTGTTTTATTATTTAATCAATTAAATCATAATAAAAGTAAAGACAAAAAAATATATTTTTAAATATACTTCTTTATAACTAAAATTTATTAAATTGAACACCTCTGTTTTTAGTTTTAAGTAAATGTCAGTACTACTCTCAGTGGCGAAACTGCGGGGGAGGGGGCGGAGGGGCTTTGGTTAACAGACAAAAAGTGTCCTTTTTTTAAGCTAATTTTAGGATGCATAAAATGGGAGGAGGAAATAATAAAAAAAGCGGGAGGATTTACAATGAAAGTTTTATTATTTATCGGTTACCAATATATATTTTTTTTAATTTTAAGGCCAATTTTCACTGAATTTTTGTTTTGAGATATAGTTTTTTGTTTATAACAAGTGACTTGTTATAAACAAATAACACGATTTTCAAAATCAGCCCCATATCGCCCATGCAACCTAAAATTAGTTTAAAATCAGGACACTTTTTGTCTGATAACCAAAGCCCCTCCGCCCCCTCCCCCGCAGTTTCGCCACTGAGAGTAGTACTGACATTTACTTAAAACTAAAAACAGAGGTGTTCAATTTAATAAATTTTAGTTATAAAGAAGTATATTTAGAAATATATTTTTTTGTCTTTACTTTTATTATGATTTAATTGATTAAATAATAAAACAAAATTTAAGTTTATAGCCTCCTTCCCCCCTTTCCTTTTAATATAGATTTCTCCTAAGAAGTAAATTACCAGTGTTTTTATTGGTTGATTTTAAAGTGAACGCGCGTTTTTTCCGGACCGTTAGTAAGATGTTTAAAAATGCTAAACTGTTTATAAAAATATGTATTCGTAAAAGTTGCTGAGGTTTTTAACATTGTTTAAATATCCATTGTATTTTTTCAAGATGCATTACTACTTTAATTAAAGTTTGGAATTACTTAACTAAATCGTTTTTATTTATAATATCTTGATTATGTGTTGTTTGATCAAACAATAAACTATAAATGTAACATAAAAGAGTGTTATAAAAGTAACAACACTGTAACATTATTTCTTTTGTAGTCATAAATTTATTGTTTTGTTTTTCATAACATTTTCACTAACAAATTAAAGTTTATTCGCCTATTCCGTAAATTTCGTGGTTTTCCATAAACTAAAACTTTGAAGACCAGATAATTTAACAGATATCGCAAATCGCGATGCGTTAATTCAACCCTTGTATATATATATAAAATATTTCATAAAAATAGATTCAGAATTCTACATGTCTTTTAAAGTCATTTAAATGTCATTAATGTATATATTTTAGATATCGGCGATGTAGAAGAAAATATTGACGGCAATGCAGAAATATAGTTTCTTATGTATATTTTTGTGAAATAAAAATTAAGTAATGTTAGTTAAAATGTTTCTTTACTTATTTAATTTAATCCTTTTTTATGACTAATTTAACCTTTGTATCAAACAAGTCCCAGCAAAGAAAGAGATATCTAAAATGTATCTAATATGCATCTAAAAACTGGTCTTAAAGACGTCTAAATTCACGTCGTGAACGGGACATAAATAGATGTCTATCTTATAGATGTCTTTTAGATGCATTTTATTCGACACAAATAAATGCCTTCAATGCATAAAAGATGTGAAATATACATTTAAAGATGTATATTAGATGTATATTAGATGCATAAAAGAGCTATTATTAACTAAAAAATTATCTATTATCTATCTTTTTTAAACGCGCCTTAGACATCTATTTAAGAGACGTATTTTATACATCTAATATGCATCTGTAAGATGTATATTTCACATATTTTATGCATCTAAGGCAATTATTTGTGTCGAATAAAATGCATCTAAAAGACGTCTATAAGATAGACGTCTATTTATGTCCCGTTCTAGACCTGAATTTAGACATCTTTTAGATCAGTTTTTAGATGCATATTAGATGCATTTTAGATATTTTTTTGTTTGCTGGGTTTTCATAATTTGTATAACAAAAAAGAAAAAACTAAGTACATTTTACGAAATGATAATAATATTCGTCAATCAGCTTATCAAACTAATTCTGGAAAATACTGTATTTTATTTCGAGGAGCATTACTTTGGAATAAAAAAGTTTTAAAGAATTTTGACTTTTCTCAAGAATTTAGCTATCACTCTTTCAAACAAAAACTTAAAAATGTCATTTTTTTATTAGATGATATATCTATATTCTTTTAATTTTTTTGTTTCTTTTTTTAACTTTATATTTAACACTGCATTAATAAATATTATAATTTAACAATTTGTAAATAGTTGTTTAACACTTTTGTTAAAGGTATCTTAAAACTGTATAACAAAACCTTTAACAAAAAGTTTAACAATTGTGCTAAAGATATCTTAAAACTGTATAACGCATCTATGTATTTTTAAAGGAACCGTTTTTCTTTTTTTTTTTTTCTTTAAATTTGTTTATGTTTTCAATTATTAATTATTAATTATTTGTTATCTTCAAGTATGTTAAGTATATATTCCTATTGAAAGTTTATTTATTTTGAGAATATTTTATTAATACGAAATATTAACACGAAAATTTTTTAGCGGTTCTCGACGACAAGACCTTACGGTCTTCTACGAGTTCCCGCGTTCTTTTATTTCTTAAGGGGGCTCACCCCCTTTAAAATTTTTTCGAGAACTACCAAGTGCATATACTTTTTAGGGTATTCATTGGAAAGAATATTATAATAGTAATTAAAAAAATATATTTTTATTTTAAAATAACGACAGCTGTTGCCATGGATACTGATTCAAAATGGCGAAAACCATAAATTCCTGAAATTTGGAAAGATAATTCCCTTGGATTGGTAAAATATTTTTCAATGAAACTTTCTAACATTGTTTATTAACATAAGATGCATGCAATAAACCAAAAAAAATAAAAATATTTATTTGGGAAAGATATCTATTTAAGTTTTTAAAAAATCAACAAAATTTTTCTATATTTTTAAGATAAAAACAAACTTTAAACAAGCTCATTATAGAAAATACAAAAAATTTAAAGCAAACTTTTGGTTTATTGCATGAAACAATCTATTTTGGGTGTTGTGTGAAAATTTTAGCTCAAAAGCTATAATAGAAAAAGAATTATCACATTTCCAAATTCTATTAAACTCTGAAAAAATGCATATTGAGAAAATAAGCAAAACGTAAAACATTTTGTAAAAAAAGCTATAGTAAGATGTTATTTTTTAGAGCTTTTTAATTCTATGCTTGATAAAACTAATTTAAAGGGGTTTTGATAATGGAAAATTATACAACATCTAGGTAATCTATAATTTTATATTTATAAACTATACCACACGAATAAAAATAAAAATTGAAAAAATCGCTGTGTAACTAAAAATAAGGGAATACGATATTCAGAATAAAAAAACATGCCCTATACATTCTCTCTTTACAACTTCTATACCATCGTATATGTTTTTCACTGAAATAAAACTTTTGGAATCGCCATCTCCATATAATTCTGTATACCTCATTTGCGTTTTTGTGGATCTCGCAAAAATAATTTTTGTGCCTTCTGTTTCCATATTTAGTGCTGATCCAGTAAAATTTGCTGAACAGTTGTGAATAATTTCCAAATTAGTTTTCTCTAATGAGTCTGTCATTTTATAAATTTTCTCACATTTTTTACAATACTGACTCATCGGAACAACATCCAAAACTTTGCCTGTGTCCATTGAAATACAACTAACAGTACCATTTAGCGATGAAAATCCTCGCCTTTGCCAGGTACCATCACATGACACAGGTACATCATAAAAACTAATTTGCGGTGGATTTTTGGATAACGCTTTTAGTTCTTGAAATGCATCATTCAAAGTTTGAGTAGCAACAACCTTTTTTCTTTTTTAACGTAAAAACAATCTTGGTATAATTTTTTGATGTAAATGGTGGTGGAAAATTCATAAAGGAACTAAAACGATTAATACCAGCAAAGCCTTGACTGCATCTACGCATCGAGTATACTATTCTATAGTTTATACTGAACCCTCGTAAGTTAAAAGGTAGTTTTTTTCATGTCCAAAATGAATGTTCCCATTAGCAAGAACGTTTTACTTTCATTTTACTTGCAAACCCATATTTTAAACTTTCACTTAGCTTCATACATGAACTTTGTTTGCATTTAGGGCAACCAAGAACTGAAATTAAGTTTGATAAACGGAACATGTCCAAAATTCTATTCCCAGTAATACCATCATTTAAAAGCTGACGAATAGCATGGCTTGACAGCTTAGTATAAGACCTTGTTTTTGGTAATGATGCTGAAGTAAATGGAACAACATTTAACAGATTTCATTAACACACATTATTTTTTGCTTGTGTGTTGGTTTCCTTTAAACTTCCTTTTCTTTTTTCTTAAACTTGCAAATTTTACTTTTTTAATTTTATCATTTATTATCGTTCTTTTATCTGCAACATTATTTTTTTCCATTATTAACTTAATAATTAAGCTCTTCGTTTTTACCAATAATTATTTTTAAACTTATCCACGCAACTAAAAATATCAATAAATTATTTATAAATAAATACAATAATCACTAAATAATCTACAAAACTTAATTTAGCTTATAATAAATAGTGATAACACATGTGAAGTGTATGTTATGTGGTTGTGTAAAAGCGTGCTTAACATGCTCAAAATAGCTTTTCCAGACCTACATGGAACTACTTTGAAAAATTAACACTTCACAGACTTGAATTAATCATATAAGATTAGGTTTTATAAAAAAGGTATTGTAGATAGGTGGAAAAAATAAAATAAAATTGTTGCTATGGGCGTTACTAAGAAAATTTTTTTATACTATGTTCAAAAAAACAAGAAATAGACATACTTATGTTGTTTTTTTTATTATTTTTAAATTAGAATCAGATTCCTCATTAAATTTTATACTTAAAAAACAAAATACCCAAAATTTCAATTTTTTTATTTTTTGTGCTATTTTGAAGGGGGTGAGCCCCCTTAATAACGATCATGTATATATATACATTGTTAACGAATATTTATTAAATCACAAAGTTGTAAAATTAAAGAACAAAAGAAAAAAAAATATATATATATATATATATATATATATATATATATATATATATATATAGTATATATATATATATATATATATATATATATATATATATATATATATATATATATATATATATATATATATATATATATATATATATATATATACTAAAGTATAATGTTAATAAAATGTCATGTATTATATACATATGTATATAAATTTATTGTGTACGTACTTTAAAGTTATATATAATTTATACATATTTATAATATATACATGTCTATAATTAATTGCTTGATACATATATACAACAAGATGGGTATATTACTCTCAGAAACTTAAATTTAAACAGTATTTTAAATTAAAATGTTTTTTATGTGAATATTTTGTTATTTAATAAAATTATAGTATAAGGGAAAAAATATATATATATATATATACATATATATATATATATATATATATATATATATATATATATATATATATATATATATATATATATATATATATATATATATATATATATATATATATATATATATATATATATATGTATATATATATATATATATATATATATATATATATATATATATATATATATATATATATATATATATATATATATATATATATATATATATATATATATATATATATATATATATATATAGCTCAAGGAAATACAAAAGTAAGAGAAAACAGTTACAAAAAAAATTATAATCAGACATAAAAAAAAAAAAGATTTATTTTATGTCTGATTAGAATTCGTCAAACTTTTAAAAATATATGCTACATATTTTTAACACAAGTTTAAAATAAACTATAATAAAAAGATTCAAAAAATTTTTTTATTTAAAACTACTTATAACAAACCTTTGCATCACATTTTTTTGTATTTGTCTTAATGGTTTTACCTCCAATTTTAGAAAGTTTGTTAACCTAAAGGTTTAAGAAAATAATTACACCACATTATTTTTATAGTATATTTATTAAAAGTTACAAGTAGATTAACTTTTTTTATTAATAAATACTAAGTTATTAATAAATACTTTTTCAAAAAACAATTAAAAAACGGCAAAAAGTCATGGTTTGAAACAACCCATCACTTCTGACCTCACCCAAGAATGATTTAAACTGTTATCATAATCATTAAATTACTGCTGCAAGCTCATCCATAGAATTTCAGAACTATTTGTCATGATATTACTTTAATTACTGGAAAGAGTTTTTACTAACATCTCTTTCTAACAATAAAGATATATCAGAATAACAAAAGAACCAAACATTAATTAATTTCTAAAAGCGTTGAAACACAAGAAGAAAACATTTATAAAATAAAACATTATTCATAAA